TGGGTTCGGGGTGGCGCTGATGTTCATGGGCGTGCCCCATCCGCCTCCGACGGCGGGCGTCATGCCTCCGGCCATGGGCATCGGCGTGCGTCCAAACGGCGTCCGGGCGCCTCCAGGCGTCATGCCGCCGGCGGGCGTCCTGGCGCCGTGGTGGGCCGGCGTGCGGCCGCTCCTGGCCATCGAGGCCTGGGTCGTGTACTGCGTCTTGAACGCGTTGCAGAGCGCCGCCATGTCGGCCAGCTGGTCGGCCTGGCCCAGCTTAAACGCCCAGGGCACCACCTTGACCGGCCACGTCTGGATCGCCGCGTCGCGGTTGGCCTTGAACGACAGGTTAAAGTAGCCCGGCCGCTGCTTGTTGAGCCCAAACGCGTACACCGAGCGCGACGGGTTGGCCAGCGACCAGTTGGTCAGGTACCGGTTCAGGTCCTCCTCGTTGGCGCCCTTGTACTTTTCGTGGTTCATCATCATCTCGACCATGTTGACCATCGGCTTGACGTGGTTGACGATAAGCTCGTCGAGGTCCGAGTAGGAGCCCATGCCCTCGATGCGCAGCACGCGGCCCAGCGAGTAGTCGCTCTCCTTGTCCAGCTCGAGCACGTCTGCGGTCAGGAGCAAAGCGCAGCGGCAAAGGCGAATGCAGTGCGGAGAAGGTTTCGTCTCGTCAGCGTCGTCGCCCAGGTCAGTCCATTTGCCCGCTCAGAAGGCCGCCGGTTTTGCCCGCCAGGCCCCTCCACTCACCAATGTTCTGGTAGACGTCGTCGTCGACCTTCCACGTGACGGCGAGGTGGTCGTCGCCCTTGGAGCTGGGCCGGACGACGACGCTGCCGCGCGGCTGGTTGGCGAGGAAGCTCTGCGCCTGGCGGTAGTTGAAGTTGTGGTAGTTGGGGTGGTCGACGACGCGGTTCTGCCGCCGCGTCTGGCTCATGAGCTTGGCCTTGTTGGCCGCCTCTTTTGTCCAGCGGTCCGCCTTGTCGTGGTCGTAGAAGGTCGAGTCGACGGGCGTGCGGCCCTGACCCGGGTGGCGCTGGCTGAGGTCCCATGGCCGGATGCTGAGCTCGACGCGGCAGTTGACCTTGTCGAGCTGCGTCACGATGGCGTCGAGCGTCTGGCCCTGCTGGATGCGCTGGTGCAGGCGCGGCTCGTCGGGACCGGGGGGGTAGGTGTCGCTCGTGTTCTGCGCCTCGATGATGCCCTCGATGCCCGAGTCGAGGCGGCACCGGATGAAGCCCTCGGCCATCTTGTTGCTGCTCTGCACGCGCGTCACCTCGACCGAAACGACAAAGCCCTTGTCGAGCGTCTTGGACGTCTCGCCCGTGAACATGGTGAGGATCTCGTCGGGCGTCGGCAGCGCCTGCTTGGGGCGCAGGTCGTCGTACGGCTTGATCAGCTCCGTCTTGCACGAGTGGAGCGTGGCGCGCTTCTTGAGCCCCTTGCGCTCAAAGAGCATCTGCGCGTAGTTGTCGAGGTCGAGGGTGCCCAGCTTGCCCGCCGGGTCCGGGTCCTCCATCAGCTCGCGGCACGGCATGCTGAAGTGCTCGCCCTCGAGGTCCTCCTCGTGCTTGTTGAGCGCGTCGGCGGCCATCTTGCGCGGGAAGTCGTAGTCCTCGGGATGGATGCGCGTGCAGTCAAGCGCGTCGGGCACGTCGTCGTCGTCGGCCTCGAGCAGCATGTCCTGGTCGATGCGGAGGAACGAGACGCAGTTGGTCCACACGTGGAACGTGACAATGTCGCGCTTGATGAGCACCTCGCGGTTGATGAGCGTGCCCTCGAGCTTGGTGCTGATGGCGCTCGTCAGCGCGTGCGCCTTGCGCGGACCCAGGCCCGCCACGTACTGCAGCATCGTCTGCAGGTACGGGCTCGACATCGACTGGTTAATCTCGACGCCGACCTCGTTGACCACTGACGAGATGGCGCGCTCAAAGTGCAGCCGGAGGCGGTCCTGCGGCAGCAGCCGCTGGTGCGGGTCGAGGATCACCGCCGTCAGGTCCGGGCCCAGCGCGGCAAACTCGTTGACCGGCGACTGGGCGTAGCGCGCCAGCGCCAGGCAGTACCGCCCGAGCTCGCTCAGCTCCGGGAACTCTTCGGCGGCGCGCTTGCTGTGCTGGTAGATGCGCGCCACGTCGTCGTAGCACGTGACGACGTCCATCAGCAGCTGCTCGCCGTTCTGGACGTCGTCGTCGACGCACATCTGCTGGTGCGCCTCGTCGACCAGCTCCCTGACGATGCTCCTCAGCTCGGCCGTCCTCGGGCTCCAGCCGCTGACCACGATGACGTCCGGCCGGCGGTCCTTGACCAGCCGGATGAAATCGGCGCGGTGGTCGGTGAACTCGGCCTTGCCGCGCGTCCTCTCGAGCTCGAGCTCGCGCTCCTGCAGCTGCCTCGGCGTCAGCGGCCGCAGATCGTCGAACGAGGTGTGCTCGCGGAAGCGGCCGCGCTCGTCGAGGAAGACGGCGGCGACCGTGTCCTTCCTGGGGTCGCCCGCGCCGTGCGAGACGGCGAGCACCTTGGGGACGCGCTCCTCTTCCTCGATCTTGGGGTCGCGGTTGCGCGCCTCCATGCCCCTGGACATGATGGGGCCCATCGAGACGCGCTTGGCCATGAGCTGCTCGCAGAAGCGGAGCAGCGTCTCCCTGCACTCCTCGCGCAGCCACTCTTTGAGCCAGAGGCGGCCAAGCGGCACGAGGTGCTCCTTGAGCGCTTCGGAGATGATTTCGCGCCGCTGCGCGTTCCACAGCTGGCTCGCCTCGCCGAGCCCCTCGCTGGCGTAGTTTGTGTAGAGGCGCGTCTCGAAGCGCGACAGCACCACGTCGCGAAGGCCGATGTCGAGCTTGATCAGCAGGTCGGCCTCGGCCTGGAGGATCTGGAGGTACTGCGCCGGCTGCTGCGGGATCAGGCGCACCGGCTTGCCGCGCAGGAACTTGAAGTTGGCATACGGGTGCTGCTCGTCGATCTTGACCATGCCGCGCTCGGTGGGCTCAATGTTGATCTCGGCAGAGTCCTTGAACAGCTGGCGGATCTCGCGCTTCAGCAGCGGGTCCTTGCCAATGTCCTGGACGAGCAGAAGCTTTGCCTTGGACAGCGCAATCTCCGACGTGAACGTGCCCCACTCGGCGCCCACAAACTGCTCGGCGTACTCAAGCGGGGGCAGCGGCTGATCCTCGGGAATGTAGCGGCGCGCGGCGCCGGTGACGTTAGCCGCGAGCTCGACCGAGCTGATGCCAAAGTTCCTGGCAAACTCGGAGATGACGGTGCCCTTGACGCGCTCGTACTGGCCGACCATGCTGGGCTTCTTGAAGTTGCCCGCTGCGGCCGCAGACTTGGCCCCGCCGTTGATCGTGAGGCCCTCCATGTCGTCGGCGGCCGCATCGCCGCCGTCGGCGAGCTTCTGGGCGTCCCGCATGCGCTGGCCGTACTGCATCGTGAGCCACTCGGTCAGGTCCGAGATCTCCTCGAGGCTCGTGGCCTGCTCCAGCATGTCCTCGAAGACCCGCTTCTGCTCCTCGGCCGACGCAGCCTCGGCGGCGCGGGCGGCGGCGGCCTCTGCGTCCTGCTCTCCCTCGCCCTCGGCCGCTGTCGGGGGCGCCTCCTGGGGCCCGAGGTTGAGGCGCTCGAAGGTCTCTCGCAGCGCCTCCTTCCTCTCCAGCAGGTTCTTGAACTTGAGGCCGAGACCGCTGAGCGTATAGAGCTCGCGCCGCGTGAGCAGGTCGATGCCCTTGTATCGCTGCTCGACCGAGTCGAATGCGACCTGCTCCAGCTCGTCGAAGCGGTGCTGGTAGAGGAAGGGCACCTCGAGCAGGTCGTTGAGCATGTAGGCGAGCATCAGCCGGACGCAGTTGAGGAACTCGGTGCGGAAGCGGGACTGCACGCCGGCGTCGTCGAGGAACTCGGCATTGCAGCGGGGCGAGATCCTTGTCGAGGCCCACTTTGCCGCCTCAAAGAGCTCGGCGTCGCTCAGCTTCCGACTGAGCAGCTTGAGGCCCTCTTCGCCGGGCATGGCCAGCTGCATTCGCTCGGGCACGTCGGTGCGCTTGATGCGTTCGTCCTCCACCGTCAACATGCGCTCGGCGATCTGCGCCGGCTCGAAGATCTGCGGCGGGCGTGAAAGGATGGGCAAAGGTGGCAGGGTTCAGGTCAGCGGCTCGCTCGCTCGCCCTTGCAACGGATGTTCGGCAGAGGAACAGGACCAGCCGTCACTCACGTCCTTGTACTCCATCTTGGCCTTCTTGTCGATCTCGAGCCCGTCCTCGTCGTCCTCCTCGAGCGCCCAGTAGTAGTCCTCTCCGTTTCCAAAAATGTCGTGGATCTCGTCCCAGGCCTCGCGGTCGATGCCGGCCTTGGCCGGGTCAGCGGCGGACCCGGACATCCTGGCCCTCCGCTTCTCCTCGCGCCTCTCGCGCCTTCGCGCCTCCCTCTCCTCCTCGTCGAGGTCGCGCATCTCCTCCTCGTCCTCGTCCTCCTCGATAAAGTCGTCGAGGCCGTCGTCCTCGTAGCCGACCTCTGGCCCGCGCTTGCGCGACACCTCGGCTCGGATCGCCCTGCCGACCGAGGGCAGGTCGTCGTCCTCGTCGAGGTCGAGATCCCTCCGACCGGCGGGCTCATCGTCGTCGTCGTCGTCCTCAAAGATGGCGGCGAGCGTCTTTTGGTTGGACTCGACATCGTCCTCGGCGCCCGGCGACGAGGGGCCTCTACGGATGCGTTTCAGGCGGTGCTACGTGGTCGAAAGCGGGCGATGGGAGGGGAGCAGTCGGAGCGGGGCGAGACGGGGTCAGCTGGCGTCTCTGACGTCGTGCGGGAGCCAACGCGTCCAAGTGGTGGGCTGCGGACGACTCACCGGCTCCTTTTGCCTGACCTGGCCCGTGTTCTCCGCGAGCAGCTCCAGGTCGTCCTCGTCGACCTCGAAATCCTCTTCGACTTGCTTCCTCTTCTTCCTCCTCCGCCTCCTCCTCCGCCGGGACTCTTCGTCGCTGCCCTCCTCTTCCTCGTCGTCTTCGGCGATGAAGCCCTCGGCGATGCGCCTGGCCTCTTCCGGGTCGTCGTCGTCCTCTTCCTCGCTGCTGTCCTCGCCGCCTGATCCGACGAGGTTGCCGTTGTTCCTCATGGTGGGCTCTCCCTCTTCCTCGTCCGAGGGGACACCCTCCTCGTCATCCTGGAAGTGGGCCGGGGGGACGGCGTCCTCCTCGTCCATGGTGGGCAGGCGGAGGGCTTCTCAGGCGAGGGCGGAAAGGTCTCGAGTGGCAACGCAAGCGCAATGCTGAGGGTGCGCCTGAAGGTATGGGCGGCCCTGCGCGAGCGACCAGCCCCTCTAGATGGCCGAGAGGGTAGTAGGTGGAGGACAGGGGGGCGCCGTCAAGCGAGCGGTGGTGCAGGGCCGAGGTGGCAGCGGGTCCGCAGCGTCGTGGAGGTTCGTGCAGTCTCCTTTTAGCTTGCTGCCTGTTTGCTGCTGCTGGTGGGAAAGCGTGAGGTCGATGGCGGAGAGGGGAAAGACAACGAGGCAGGGTGGATAGAGGGTAGAGGCAGAGGCGGCCGGGGTGGCGATACGTGCTCCGCCGCGCTTCGATCAACCTCGCCGTGCTGCTTCACTCGCCTCCCCGCCGGCCTCTGTCACAGCGCGCTGAGCTCGGAGCCGTCGAAACGGGACTCTGTTGAGCAGTGGGCTCGGCACCGCAGCCGGCTGGCTGGCCTGGCTGGCTGGCGGGCTGGCTTGGCTTGGCTGGCTGGCCTGGCAGGCTTTGTATTGCCCGCCGGGCTGCAGGTGCCCAATTTTGGAATTCCAACCTGCCTCAACTAGCGGCAGCGGTGGGCGAGCGGGTTTTGTATTCCACCCGTTGGCATTTTTTCGTTTCTTCGCGTGCCCCGGGTAGGGGCCAGGGCCAGGCGGCGGCGGGTGCGGCTGGCTGGGTGCGCTTCGCTGCGCTGCTGCTGTTCGGTGTGCGTTCGCCGTTCGAGGTGCGCTCGCCTCGCTCACCATCAGCCCTGCCTCGATATTCGCTCCGCCGCCGACGACCGCCACCACCACCACCTATCATCATCCTCCATCGCATCGACGCCGCTGAGCACGACACACCTAGGCTTTCGACAGCACTCAACGCACGCGCCGCTCTCTGACCCGATCCGTCGGACCACCACCACCACCAGCACGACTTCCTTTGCTTTTTCTGCCCACCATGTCGCTCGGTGAAGCATCCTCGTCGGCGCTCCACCTCAACTTCCCGCCCTCGACGGGAGCAGGCGTCATGCACTCCCGCTCCGTCACCGGCGTCCACGTCCACCCCGTGAGTAGGCGGGCGGTCCCATCGTCTCATTTCTCACCCGCATCGCTGACCCCTTGCCCTCCTGCCTCCACCTCTGCGGAAACCCCCGCTCCCTTCCCCCGCGGCTTGCACCTGCGCAGGTGGCGCTCTTCTCGATCCTCGACCACTTCCTCCGCCGCAACGATGGCCAACAACGCGTCATCGGCACATTGCTCGGCACCAGGACAGAGTCGGAGATTGAGATCAAGAACTGCTTCGCCGTGCCGCACCTCGAGAACGAGGAGCAGGGCCAGGTCCAGGTCGACATGGAGTACCACCGCAACATGTACGAGCTCGCGCAAAAGGTCCGACCGGACGAGGTCATCGTCGGATGGTGAGTCGCCGTCGTCGTCGCAGAGTCCATGGCCAGCTTGGCCGCGTCGGCAACCGAGCCTCGAGAGAGCTGATCCGTCTGTGCCCGCTCGGCCTGGATCCTCTCCCTCCCCTCCCCTCCCTTCCCGACTGCTGCTGCTGCTGCTGCGCGCACGTTCAGGTACGCCACCTCGCCCGAGCTCAACACCTACAGCGCCCTGATCCAGGACTTTTACTCTCGCGAGACTGCGCCGCACCAGGCCGTGCACCTCACCATGGACACGTCCATCGACGGCGCCAAGGCCACCGGGCTGGGCATCAAGGCCTACGTCTCGTCGCCGCTGGGCGCCACGCCCAAGGCCGAGAACTGCGTCTTCCTCCCGCTTCCCACCAACCTGCTCCACTCGACTCCGGAGCACGCGTCGCTCTCGCTCCTCGCCTCGCCAAACGTCTCGTCGCCCCTGTCGGACATGGACGCCCTCGCCGCCAGCCTCAGGCAGGTGCAGGCGCAGCTCGACCGCGTCCTCGGCTACGTGCGCGCCGTCCTGGCCGGAGAGCGCGAGGGCGACAAGGCCGTCGGCCGCTTCCTCAACGACACCATCTCCGTCGTCCCCGCCGGCATGGACGACACCAAGCTCGAGAACCTCTTCAACGCCCACCTCCAGGACGTCCTCATGGTCTCGTACCTCGCCAACGTCGTGCGCGCCCAGGCCGAGGTCTCGTCAAGGCTCACCCTCCTCACCTAGGCCGTCGTCCGTCGTCGCTCGCTCGTCGTCGTCGTCGTTTGTCGTCGTCCTTGTCGTTTGCTAGAGTTCACCCGGCGAGCACCCGTTCGCCCGCTCCCTTTCTAAAAAAATCCCAACGGCATGGGGGAGCGCCGGGCCAGCGCTCCCCGTCGTGGATCCACCACCGCCCGCCTGCTCTCCCTTGTAAATGCATGGTCCGATCCTCTGATCCAGTCTGTCCCGTCGGGCTTCCGTTCTCCGATTCAGCCCAGCGTGAAAGCGGAGCAGCCCGTCGGAAACGGGAGGGTCTGTCCGGAAGCGGATAGATGAGCGACAGCGGCAGCGCACGGGTGGGTCGCGATCGATGGGCCGTTCCGTGAGCGAGGTCGTCAACGATGGGTGGGTATGATACAAGGCAAGGCGGGCAGAGCAGAAAGGGGATGAAGTCTGTGTCGATCAGTGTTGAAAGTGGGGGGCGGGCGAATGCTGTATATGCTGCGGGCCAAGGCGGCGGTATGCTGGAGCGCATCTCGCGCTGTCCCGCAGTGATGCTTCAGTGATGCTGGTGCAGAAGGCAAGACTGGCTGGTGGGACGAGGCTCCAGGCCGGCGCTACTGGCCCTTGTCCTCGCCGCCGTCGGTGGCATCGTCGATAAAGTGCCAGTCGGCGCAGTCGCGGCAGTCGTCCTCGCTGCGCCGCCTCGGCACCGCGCGGGTGTCGTCCTCGTCCCGCTGGCCCTCGTCGTCGTCGTCGTCCTTGTCCTTCCCACCCCTCCACGGCCATCGCCAGCCCAGAGTCCGCATCGGACCTTCGGTGGAAGATGCCAGCGACCCTGACTCGGCCAGTGACCTGGTGCTGGACTTCATCTTGACCTTGCCCTTGCCCTTGGCCTTCCGCACCTTTTCGCTCCAGTCCTCGTCGAGGACGTTGTCGATCAACGTGTTGATGCGGTGCGTCGTCAGGCTGCTGCCCCAGCCGAGCTTGCCGACGGTGTCGTAGAGGATCGTCTTGCCCGAGTGGCACTTGGACTCCATGGCATAGCCGAGGTTGGAGCAGAACGAGCCGGCGCCGTTGCACTGACCCATGGCGATCGAGTCGGCCGTGTTGTAGACGTGGGTGATGGGCAGCGCCGAGACGGGGCTGTCGTCCGGGTGCCTGGACGGCGGCAGCGGCAGGTGGAGCCGCAGCGCCGCCATCCGGTCGCCGGGAGCCTCAAAGGTGATGGTGGGCGCGCCAAAGGTGATGCCGAGCAGAGCAGAAACGGCGCCGCCGAGGCTGTGGCCACTGATCCAGATCTGCGAGTCCGGATAGAGGTACGAGATGTTGTTGTACAGGTCCGTGGCGGCCGGGTAGTAGAGCGACTTTTCCACGAGCGCCCGCTCGAGGCACGACTGGCCGCACGTGTCGCCGTGGCCCGCGTAGCAGTCGCACACGGGCGTCCACGACCACGAGACGCGGGCGCAGCAGCACGAGAAGAGCATGTTGTCGTTGACGCGGTCGCGCCGCGCCGTGTCGCCGCCGCCAGGCAGCAACGCCGAGCTGGTGCCCTTGAGCGCGACGACAATGGTGCTATTGTCCTGGGTGGTAAAGATGTGGCCGCGCATGCCGTCGCCCTCCCAGCCAAACGAGTCGGTCAGGTTGAAGCCGCCGGTGGCCTCCCAGCCAGAAGTGTCGTTCTGGTAGGCCAGCGCCGCCATCTTGGCAAAGGCGAGGATCGTCTGGCGGTCTTCGGTATCGGGTGCATCGATCTCGACATCTTCCCAGTCGAGCTCGGTCGAGGCGGCGCAGACGGCATCCTCGTACGAGGTGCCGCGCACCTCGAGGTAGCGGTTGACGTCGCGCGGGCGCGTGACTGTCTGGCGGACCGTCTTGATGGGCGGGATGTGGTAGGGGTCGCTCGGGTCCGACAGGGACGAGAGGGCGTGGACCTTGTAGTCGAAGTCGGTCGTGGCGCGGAGGCCGGTATACGCCTCCATGCCCTGGTGGTAGGCCTGCCGCAGGCCAAAGTACTTGTACTCGGATCGGGGCTGCTCAGGTGAGGGGCGGCCAGACCAAACGGTCGAGAGGGCGTTGGTCAAGTAGCGCTGCAGGCTTTGGGCGAGCGACCATATGGGTTGCTGTGCGGTCGTATCGATCCAGAGGGGTGTTTGGGAGACGGCAGCGGCGCCGGCGACGGTGGCCGACGATGCAGCGACGAGCACGAGGGCGAGGCAGCTGAGCGAGCAGAGGAGCGTGAGCCGTGGGCGACTGCGTGCGCGGTGGCGAGGGGTGGCCGGCATCTTGGCTGTGACACAACCGCGCGCGACTTGCGATCTGGGCGAGAGGCCGAGGTGTGTGCTGGCGGTGACGGTGGCGGTGGTGGGCTCAGTGGCGATAACTGCGGCGAGAAAACAAGCGCTTGTTTGGCGATGTGGGGTGTGTTGAGAGACGGAAGAGTGTGCAGTGGTTCGCCTGCGTGGCAAGAGCAGGAACGTGGAGATGAGGGCTTTGATAGGTGCTGTTGATGGTGCTGTCGATGGTGGTGGTGGTGGCGGTGGTGGCGGACGGCGGGCCGACAGGGGTCCGATCGATGGTCGAGGCCAGAGGTGGCGAGCGGGCGCTGCCTCGTTGGGGCAACAGCTGGGCTGGCCTGCGTGGACCCTGCCTGCCTGCCTGCCTGCCTGCTTGCCTGCTGGTCAGCCAGAAAAAGATAAGCTCGCCGAGGCGGGGGGCGCTTGCGGGGGGCCAGGCAGGCAGCAGGCAGGCCAGGCAGCGGTGCGGCAAGGTGACGCGCGGCCACACCGGTTGCCAGGGCCACAGCCCAAGCCTCCACTTTGCTGCGGCCGCCACCGTCTTCGCTGCGCAGCCACCGTACGAGCCCACCACCTCCTCTGCGCCACCAGCCCCGCCGCTACGCCTGCTCGACAGGCCAGAGAAGAGA